CAGAGGCTAAAAGATGAAAATGGTGCCTTGATCAGAGTAATCAGCAAATTATCTAAATAATTTCAATTTTAAAAGAAGGCTGTATAGCGTTTCTTATGTTACAATTGCATTGAATGAATTGTTTTTTAGTTATAAAATATCATGATCATTATTGCTAGTATTCTTACAATGTATATTACATCATCACGTTATTGATGAATTTATTTTTAATGCTAGTAATTTAATTTATTATCAAACAAATTACTCGCGTGGCTGTGCCAAGAGCGAAGAGAGACATTGCTCCTATTCTTATTATTGTGAATAGTTGACTATGAAGGATTTAGAATTTTTACTTTCTCACTTAAACTCTTCCTGTCGAAGATAAATTTCATGGTTCATTTTAGAGCCAATGCTTTGTAAAACAAAATGTACTTTGTTCAAATTGATAAAAAACAAATGTTCTTTATGACAATTTTTTTTAAAGAATTCACATTATTAATGTTGACTCTTTATAAGAACATTTTGTAAATATGTAATAGGTAATAATAACGTGGCATTTTAGAATTAAATAAAAATAAAAATTTTTTACTTTCAAAAAACATAAAAAATATCAAATTTATTGTATAAATTTGTTTCTATAATTGTAATGCAAACGAATTCGTTAGATATTACAAAATTAAATAGAACAATAAAAAAAAAAGTGAAGATAAGATAATGATTTTCATGCTATTCAAGTGGCCTTTCCTGAAAGACTGCAATTTATAATCCTTCCATCATTGCCATTTTTTATAAAAAATAGAAAATTCATTCTAAATAATGTATGTTTTAATATTATTTTATAATTCATTGTTAAGAAAATTCAGCTAAAAATTTGTTAATACACGAAGTGTTGAAGATAATTTTAATAACTGATACCAAGAATCGAAACTGTATTATTAATTAATTAAATATATTCAATCAAAAGAAAATTTCTTCTTTTTAAATACAAATATTTATAACAAAATTTTAATTTTGATAAAATAATAAATTTATAGGTAATGAAGAAAGGACAAATAGAAATATATCAATGACATGTTTTTTAAAAATGTTATTATAAAAAACTGTACAAAAATAAGTTGAAATAATTATTTTATAATAATGTTATTAAATTTTGCATAATTATTTAGATACATTTATTACATATTATATAATTGCAACGTGTTTATTGTATTCGAAAAGTATTTGGATAAAATTAGCATCACAATATACAATGCTCATTAATGTATAAATATAAAAAAGATCCATTTATACAATATTTGTGATAAATAGTTAAAATTTTATGAAATATGTTTTTATGTTTGAAATATTTTAAATTCTGTATTTGTTGTAAATATAATGAACTGTAATTAAAATATATAAGTGAATGCATTGTGTATATATATATATATATATATATATATATATATATCGCTAATTAAATCTAATAATTGTTTGTAACATTTAGTTTTGTGTTGATTTCATAATTCATTTTGTATCAATACATTTCCATAATATATTTATAAAATTATATTTAATATTTCACATGAACAGCATGAAATGATTAAATCTTTAAAAATTTATTCATGTGATAAAGATTGATTCTGCTATTGTATGTTGTACAATTATAATAAGCATGTCCCATTCTCAAGATCACATATTATAAATGAAAGTTAAATGTGATCTAAAATTTTTGTGAAATATTTTATAATATATTAATATTGTTAAGAATAAAATTTTGTGCTAAAGTTCAAATTAAGTTTTGAAGTTGTATAAGAGTCAATTTGTTAAATCAAAGATATTTATTTCATATTTGATTTTATATTTGTGATTGCAATTTATAAAAAATAAATGTTAGAAAAATTACTTACATATATTTCGTATAATATTTTTAATGTGATGATGTGTAAATATGTTAAAAAATAAGAACTTCTGATCATTTATAAAGTTATTATTTAAATGTTTTTATTATAAAAACGAATGAGATAATAATGAAATATTTTGAAATTAACTTAACAATCTTGTCATAATTTTTGAAACTTTGACCATTTCTGCACATCCTTCAGTAAATGTAACTACCTCATGTAGAAACTTTTTAAATATTTTTTTATTTCCTCTTTTATATTTTTTGACCCATTTTGGATTTTTTTTAAGTACTTCTAAACATAATATTTCTAATTTCTCTTCATTTGATATCATAAACCAATTATTTTCTTCAACAATCTATATGAAGAAAAAATTTTATCAATTATGAATTATTAGAAATATTAATATACATAAAAATATAAGAATAATTCAATTCTATTTACCTGTTCTGGCATCTTATTTGATTCATTAAGTAATTTATTTAACAATCTTCTTAATATATGTTGATTTATTACTCTAGCTTGTAATAAATCAATTGTCTTTTCAATATATTTCTGATTACACACACTAAAAACACATTATATAAATATATTTCTTTAATTTACTGTAATAAACTTACCAAAATGCGAAATTCAATTTATGTTCATCTATAAATGCACATACTTCAGAAATAAGAATTTGAGCCACCAACTGAGGCTTACGATGTTTACCATTATTTAAAATATCACGAAATAATAGATATAATTCTAAGTTACTCTAGAAATAAAAATTAATTAATATAATGTTTTAGATATTTTAAATGTTTTAAACATACCATTATTGCTATAAATACATGTGGTGTAAGGCTGTTCTGTAATTTTTGACGTATTTGTTCTGGCAATTCTGGTAATTGCTCTTTTAAAGATGGGACATTAATTAGATTATATTTATTTTCCATCGTATTATCAATGTGTAAATATAATGGTAGCAAATTTGGTTCAGGCATAAAACGATAATCCTAAACAATAATAAATATGCAATGTTTCTTATAATAAAAATTATTAGAAAAATTAAGTAAATATAAACTAATATAGTTTATATGTAAATAGTATTACATATAACATTAGTATTACATGTTTTTCTTCTTTTTCACGCATAAGAATTGTTTTTTTGTCTATTGGATTCCATGCACGAGTTTCATTGGTAACTTGACCTCCTGCTTCTAAAATAGAAATTTGTCTTTTTATCTCATATTCTATAGCACGATTGATAGCACCTATACTTCCAATGTTTTTTATCTCAGTACGAATACCTAAAGGTGCATTAGATTTGTTTACAGAAACATTTGCATCAACTCTTAGAGCTCCTTCTACAACACAAAACTGTCTATTATTTATAATATATTATTATTATTTATAAAAAAAATTGTATAAATAAAATGACCTTCCATTTTACATGAACATGTGCCTAATAATTGTAAGATAAAACAAAGTTCTTTCACAAGAGCTGCTGCTTCTTCTCCATTTGTTAAATCTGGTTCAAAAACTAATTCCATTAAAGGTATTCCAGCTCGATTAAGATCAATTAAACTTCTGTTATAAATGAAATAAAGTATTTATTGAAATAATTTTATTTAATGAAATAAATTAAATAAAATATTGTCACAATTATTTTATTAATCATTAAAAAAAAAAATTAATAATACCTTTCAAAAACTTCATTATGAAAACTTCTTCCACTATCTTGTTCTAACTGTATCTGCTTAATTTTTGATGATTTTATATAAGGTTGTTTATGTATTTCAGGCTTAAATACATTAAATTTAATTTCTCCATTAACAGCTAGTGGTTTTTTTTGTTGCGTAATTTGAAAGCCTGCCTACAAAAAAATTATATGTAATAAACATAAAAAAATATAAATAAAATTTAAATCATACATTATTTTATTTTTAATAATTATACTTTAGATGATAATGAAACATTATTTATAGAAATTATATTTACAGGTAAATCGGAATAAAAATAATGCTTCCTCTCAAACATTGAGACAGCATTTATTTCACATGAAAGAGCCAAAGCAGTTAATATTCCAGCTTCTACACACTTTTTATTTAATACCTATAAAAATAATATAATAAAGAATTATTAAATTACTCTATTTTAAAATACTTATATATAAAATATTTATTTACTGGCATTGTACCAGGTATTGCGCAATCAAAAAATGATACAGAAGAATTAATTGGACAACTAAAATTTGTAGAAGCTCCAGAAAATAATTTTGATTTTGTTAAAATTTGTGCATGTATTTCTAAACCTATTGTAGGCTTCCATTCCCTTCTATAAAAATATTTTATTATTTTTAATATATAATATATGTATACATTTTTGGGATATTTTTACAAAACAATTAATTAACATACTTACATGTCTGTAGAAATAGATTGAATATCACATTTCTTATATATATTTTCATAATAATTTTTTATAAAATTTTTTAGTTGAGTTCTTCTATATGAAAACATCTTATATTATAAATAAAGTATAGCATTTCCTTACATCTAAAAATACATATGTAATAAAATTTATACAAAGTAAAAATATAAAAATATATATATTTTTCAAATTTTAATCCAACATTGTAATTTATTTAATAACTAAATTTATATTTTTTACATAATTCATTTTTAAAATAAGAATAAAACTAATAAGAAATAAGTTTCTCTTTGATTACAATTGTACTTGCATGCTTATTTAAATCTTATATATAATATTCTATAAAAAATAATGAATATATTTATATAATTTAGATATCAAGTTATAAATTAAATTTTTAAATATAAATTATATTTGTATAAATTAAATTTATACAACATAATTTATACAGTATAAATTAAATTTGTAAGTCATTACACTAACATTTTAAGTTATATCAATCAAAATCAAAATATAAGAAAATATCAAAATTTAAAAAAAAAATCACTTTGTAAGTTAACAAATTATTGAAAATTATTACAATATAACTTTACAAATTTATTATTTGTAACAATTTAATAAAAACATATCATCTGCTATATTAATTCATATATTTTGTAATATTCTATAATTTTAATCTATATAATGAATATTTTAAAAATAGAAAACATCGACTTAAATTACAACACTATTGTGGCGCTATCATATGGAAGAATAAGAAGTTTAGAATTAGATACATATCGTAATCAATATACGTCATACATTCGTATATCATTATAAACTGAACCATATTTATTATTATTATACGATATAAAAAATAGCAAATAATTATTTAAAATTAAATTAAAATATAATTAATATGCAAAATAACATATAAAAAATACATATAAAATTTATTGTCTGTTATTCTAATATTAAAAATTAAGGTAAATTTAAATTGAATTTATGTGTTTACTATATTATTATGGATATTTTTTACTAATTTTAAAATATTTATTGATTTCAATATAATATTAATTTCAATATTTAATTTTTATATTTTTTAACCTTTAAAAAATAAAAAACAAAATATAAATTATTATTTTACATATAAATATAAGTTATTTTTTTATATATTGTATAATTATATTGTTTTAGAAGTTATAAAAAACTATTTACTATCTAAAAAATTTCTAAATATTTTCTTATAAATATATATAATATATATAAATATATTTTATTGCAGATGTCAAAATTAATGGAATGGCTTTTATTTGCTACTTTATTTTTTGGTATATGGATTGCTGCAATTACTAAAAATGTTAATTTATTTTTTATCGCAGAGTGGAAACAAGTTGTTCTTTTCTTTCCACTCATTGTTTTATTTATATGTAGTTTATATGCAACTATTATTATTTTATATAGAGTTTTCACATTTAACAATTGTGAGCATGCAGCTATTGAATTACAGGAAGTATGTTTAAAAATATCTATAGTATTTATTAATATTATATAAAATATAAGTAAATATTGATAAATTTTTTCTAAATTTTATATTTTTAGCAAATAGAAGAAGCTAAAAAAGATCTTCAGAATAAAGGTATAGTTTTAAAAAGTAAATAAATTGAAATTTTTATATTCAAAATCAATATTATCTGAATCAAATAATATAATAATATATAATTGTCTTATTTATCTTATATAAATATATATTTAGATTATATTTATGTATATTTTTTATAATAAAAAAAATATTTAAATTACATAAATTAAAGAATTGTAATATAAGCAAGTGTTTTCTATTTACAAATAATATTGAATTTATACATATTTTCTTATACTTATTAAGATTAGAAAATGCTTAAAAAAGTTTTTTATTAAATAATAATTGAATAATACTAATTATTTTTTTTTATTTTTATGTAAATTTTAAAGCTTTTATTCATTACAAGTAAAACTCAATAATAAAAATCTGATTTTGTTTAATAATATTTTTATTTGTAATGCATTATTATTTTTGGTACTTAAAATAATGAAAATTAAATTAAGACGTATATGACATAAGATTTATATATTTTAACTCTCTCTAGCATGAAAATCTTCAATGGTAATCTCTAATTGTATAATAACAAACATTCGATCTAACAACAAAACATCAAAACATATAGTTTATTTATGTAGAGCTATGTGTTTGTACATACATATGTATGTATAATAAAATCAAACTATAATCTAATACTCAAGACTTAACTTATATTAATTATACTTATACATTTAAAAACAGGGAAACTAATATATTCATTTGTGCCTAGACTCATCATTTTTATTTATTAAATATGTAATTTTGCAATAATATTTGTTTTACATTGTGCTATATTTCTAAAATTTTAATATCAGTACTAGTATCTTAAAAATTCGAACGATTCCTAATAAGTTACATATTACTATGTTAAGGCTACAACATATTGAATGTGTTTTTATAATAATAATCTCATTGCCTTCACTTTTATAGAAAGTTAATTACAAATTTTCTTTATAGATTTATAGTTCTTGTAAGTCACCTTGTATTTATCTATTTAAGATATTCATGTATGATTTCTTAATATCTAGTCATAAGTTATTTGAGTTATTTAGATGAAAAATGGATATCGATATCGAGGTCAAAACAAATTTAAAACAATATACGTATATGTTACTTAACTTTTCATTTTTTTTTCACTTCAAAATTTCTTACATTTTGTTATTTTGTGACAAATGAAATGACTTATAATGTGTTATTAATGAATAACTATTTTCGCCACTTTTGTTTAAAAAATACAAGACTTTTTTTTATACATACATACATAGGCGCAAGTTATACGCAAGTACACACATATATACATATGCAATCATACATATACGGATGCACTTACATAATTTTTATATTAGAAAGCCTATCAAATGTACAAAATATGCTTGTCATACATATATTTTGAATACACATATATCTTTACTTGTGTATACAAATTTATATGTATGTGTAATTGTACAATATCTTCATATATAAATACAAAGTATTTATATCTTTGTATATCATAATTCATAAAACAAGCAGGCTTTCTTATATAAAAATGTAATTACACTGTTCCATATATTCAAAAAACAGAAAGTTTTGCCAAAGAGTAATTTTTAGACTGCAAGGATGGATATAACACTTAATAGCAAAATAGCAAACTTTAATCGCAAAATACTTAAAAAAAGTTGTAAATTTATATATTTTGAAATACACAATTTAAAGCTACAAAAAATTTAACACATGAAATAGTCTGATATATACTCTCAATAAAATTTTATCATTTATCAAATAATGCCAATATAAGATTAACAACTAACTAGAGAATTAATATAATAAATATGTGTGCATATAATTATATACAAAGTAAAGATGACCAGTTGAAAGTAAAAAAATGCCTGTGTAATTACCCACCCTATATCAGTCCTTTAACTCCTTATTATGAAATCAATGAAGTATATTACTTCAGTCATCAAGACTTTGTGATAACAAAAAATTAGCAGCAAGATTTTCATTTTTTTCACACGCAAAATAGGCTTGTACGACTAAATGTTCCGGAAATCCTAGTGCCTTCAACCTCTCAATAGCTTCTTTATCCTGAGGTGTTACCTGAATTACCGAAGTTTCTACATCTGATCCTGTTCCTATACCTGCGCCAAGTCCTCCACTTATACCACCAGGAGCAGTTGCTGGTGTAACAGTAGAGGCAGATACAGGTGTAGTTCTTCCTCCAGTACCACCAGTAGTTTCCACTACTCCAAAATAAAATATATAATAGCATAAATATACTCATAAATAGATAAATCATAAACTATTTTTATTTTAATAAAAAATAGAAACTAACCAGGTTCATTAAGCATACGCACAAATGCTTCTTGATTTTGTGAAATAAGTTGTAACAATGCAGGATTTGTTTGACCAATTTGTTGTAATACAGCATTTAATAACTGAGGATTTTGTTGAATAACTTGTCGCATTTGTTGAAATTGAGGTTGCATTCGTAAGAATGCCAATGGATGTTGACCATGATCTTGAAGTTGTTCTTGTGCTTCAAGTTGATCTTCTGGTAAATCTTCAAAAAGTTGAGCTGGTATTCCTGTTAGAAGATATTCAACAGCTCTATCAGGATTGTTGAAACTTGCTCTTAATGCTTGTTCAACTTGTTCTCTTTCATACCTAATATATATGATATTATAATTAAAATAATAATTACATAGATATATTTTTTTCTTTTATTGAACATATATCTACCCCATATCCACAATATTGTTCACCATAGTATTATAATCTTCACCCATTAACAAGGCACTTTCAGCTTGACCTCCAACACATCCAGCAGTAGTACTTGCTTCAGACTGTTCTTGTATAATATTACCAGGGCTTGATGCACCCTGAACTGTAGGATTTGAACTAGGTTGTGCTACTAAGCTATGGCAAAAATCATGTGTTAAGAATAATATAATAAAACACAACTAAAATAAAATTATTCATGAATATCATTTTTAATAATTTCAATTAAGAAATTAAATTTAACAAATAAAAAAATAAATAAATAAACTTTAATAAAATAGTCTTTATACTAAGATAATAATTATACTTAAAAAAATTATTATAAAATATGCAACTTATCAAAAATATTTGTTAAATATAGTTTTTAGTTAATACCTAGTTGTACTACTTTCTTCTTTATTATCTGCACTTGTATGTTCTTCATCGGTTGTTGTATGACCATTACCAGTCTTAAGTTTTGTTACCATAACAACTATAAACTTTTTTTCATCTATATTATATTCTGCTAATGGATGATCATCTGTTAATATTTTTCCTATAAAAATAATATATTATTATTATTAAATTATCATTACAAAATTATTCATTATTATATATAATGATATTTGAAAAAACAGAAATAAATTCTAATATTTTTTAATTTTTTATTTTACAATATTAAAATAAATTTAATCAAAAAAATTATTAATTTATAAACAGCAAAATATATTATAAAATTTACAATCAAATGAAAATAAGGTTATGTAAGCTATATCGCTCACCAGCATATATTAACTTCTGATATTTAGCAGGAAAACCTTTTTGAGTTTCAATTTTTTGCTTTAAATCTCTTACCTATAAAAGGTGTAATTAAAATTGATTATATTTAAAAACCTATATATTTTACATTTACTACATTCACTTACTGTTTGCGATGGATCAATTTCTACTGTAAAAGTCTGCTGCTGCAAGTTTTTTAATGTTATAATCATATTGTAAGATGAAGAATTAGTGGTACGTTGTTGGTTGATAAAGGAAACTTTGAAGGATCTGGTGTAATAAGGCTATAAAGATGTTTTGGTAAAGATCTTTTCAGCGATGAGTCGGCACTGCTTAAAGCAACTTACAAATGCTTAACTCAGGGTAATATGCAGCTGAAAACATATGATGACATAAAGCAGTATTTCCAATGATGAACAATTGAATATATGAAAGTATGTACTAAAACAAGACTAAACTAATTCAAATTTAATTTGTATCGTTTAACATTACACATATTTATTAAAAATATTTATATAAGTATTTATATTTATTTTTAAATATTTTAATTAATATTAGTTTTTTTTATTAAATATTGTATTTAATTAATCGTAATAAGATAAATAAAAAAAATATAAAAAATAAAACAAATATTATAATATCATAGCCTATTTTAAATACAAATTATGGCAATAGTAAATTTTGCAATATCAGAATTGTCTTTTTGATATACAATATATATAAATCTAATTTAGTTACTAAAAAGTCCCGCGATTTTATGAAATATTTTTTTGAAATAATAAAAAAAATAATTGAAAAATTGTCGTATATGTTTTCAAATTAATGTAGATAATAATACAATAAATAATTATAATGCATTATAATATGTATATAATAACAGAAATGTATTTTATATTTATATTAATATTATTAATACTTTATACAATATCATTATAAATTGTTAATATAATTAATATAATTAATATAATATAATTAATTAATATATGTACTTAAAATGGAATATATATTATCATTCCAGAAATAATAAATTTATTTTTATATATAATATAAATAAATAGATAAATAGATCTTATATAAATAATAAGACTATACTTTTATACTTATAAATGCAATATTAATTCATTTAAGACCATAATTACATTTTACATTTAAATTAAATATTAAAATTATAAATATTAAAATGTTAATATACTTATAAATGAATATTAAATATTCATTTATATTGTGTTTTTATAAATTTTATTTTATAATATAATTTCATAATACACATATATACACATATATAAATGTGAATAAACATTATGATTTTATTTATATCTTTATACATTTGTAAATAACTAGAGTAAAACCAAAAAATATTTCACAGTTATAATTTAAAAATATATTACATAATAATGCTGAATAATTATTCAATAAATTAAATTATAAAATGTATTAAGATACACAAAACTATATTGTTTTTAATATTATGAATAGTATATATTCTTATTCAGAATTTAAAAAATTAAAATATAATGATAAATTTTTAATGATTATATATATATATATTATATATTATATTATATTATATATATATTATATTTTCTCTTTTAATTACATTGATTTCTCTTTAACACATTGATTCTTTAATGAAATTATTCAAATTATAAATTAAATTAACTTGTTAATATTTTAAAAATGAAATTTCTTAATATTTTTACATTATTTTATAATTTATGATTTGAGTATCTCAATACATGTACATGAAAAATATATAAATAGTTATAATTTAAATTTTTGCAAATTATGTATATATTATATATATCTTATGTATATACATAAATTCTGTGTTATATGTTTACTTTTTAATAATCTTTATACAGAATTATATAACAATAATTAAAATATTTTTTTGATGAAATAATCATATAATATAATATAATATAATAAGAATGGTAGAAAGATTAATAAACAAGAAAAACTAAAAAAAGATTAATAAACAATTTTTTAAAAATATAAAATAAAACTAAATTAATATGTTTTTTTTTTTAAAAACATAATTAAAATTTTATCTAACATTTATCATATTATTATTTATCGATACATTTATCAATTTTATCTATACATTTTCTAAGTTACATTAAATTATTTTATATTAACACTTACAAAGTAAATGCAAAAATCCAGAATGTTCTCCAATTTTTATGATAAATATGCATAATTATTCTTGATATGGTGTATTTGAAGTTACATTGATCATCTCTGTTACACTAAAAAATATATAATAAAATTATCATAATTAAATTACAAAAAATATTAATAAATTATTAATACAAAATTCTTAAAGTATGTAAAAAATTATTTCTACATATAAAAAAAAAATTTAACAATTCAATGCAAATAAAATATCTTGACTAAATTCTTAATAAAATATTTGATATAACATAATGAATTTTCTACATCTTACCTTCTAAACAATTACATGCTATATATTTCTAGATATTTTTATGTAGTTTTTATACTTAATATAATTATATAATATATCAATAAAATCCTGATTTCTCTGAAGTAGTTAGATTAAATATGTATTAAACATATATCAAAAAGAATGATATATTGAATTCTGTATTGATTAATTTTTATTTTATATTACTTTTAAATGATATGACATTAGTAAATATATATTAGTAAATATATTATGTAATGTATAAAGCATGGTTATATTTATGCAATGTATAAAGCATATATACGAAGCATATGATATAAAAATACAAATAATATAAATTTTTAATAAAAAATATATAATTGAGTTACAGTTATACAAAAAATTTGAAGAATCAAAAATGAAAAACAATAAATGTAACTACATGCATATGATTAGCCTTTAATTCGTAACATAAAAATTAAATACAAAAAATATATATAATAAATCAATAAGATTTGATATTTAAAAACTATTCATATCAAGCCATGTATAAAACAATATTAACATTCTTGCAGGATAGACATAACACAATATCACAAACACTTACAAGAACAATTACGGTGCCCTAAGCATACTTTGTTGCAGTCATCTTTACATTAGTTTGCTGTATAACATACATTATATAATGTTATATAAGTTTTATTATCAAATTTAAATTCAATATAATATTATAAATATGAATTCATAAATTAATTTAAAAAAAAGCATATTTAATTTTTAAATTTTTAATTAAATATTTTCTTAATCTATAATTATTTTTAAAGAAATAATATTTTCAAATTTGTTAAAATCTTATATTATATATCATATTATAGAGATTTATAAATGCACTTATTGTCAAGCTTTCTAATTAATTATTTTTCTTAAAAAATAAATATAATATACAATTAAGTAAATTTATTAAGTAATAATACCTTTAATATTCCATTAATTTCTTTAAATAGCTTGATAATAAATGTAATAATGTGATGAATGCAGGTGATAAAAGAAGTACTTATATATAAGATATTTGTTTTATTTAAATACACTGAAATAAGAAATGTTATGCACAAAATATTCTTATAAAAGATGCTTATTATAAAAAGATAATATTCTTATAAAAGATAATATATTTTCTTATACCATATTACCAAATAACTTTTATAAAAATATTTTTTTCATAACATTCTTTCTTTAAAAAATATTTCATTGTATTTACAAACATATATCCTTTAAAACAAACATATTGTATATTCTTTTTTTTTTTAATTTTATTGTAAAACTTTTAATTCAACAAGAATTGAGTTGTAAAGCAATTTTTAATTTTTTTAATTAAGCCTCTTTTAAGCACAACACCATTTAGTAAAAATCAAAAAAGAAAAAATATAATTAATATATAAATTGATCTTTACCTTTTAGAACATTTGATGTGTATTATTAATAATATAATGCCTAATAACAAACAAATACATCCTACAACTATATAAGCAATACCAAGAAAGGGATTTTTTCCACCAAGAAGAGAAGTAGTACTTAAAATCATTCTTTTCCTACCATTAAAAGCAGACACAGGATATGCTGAAAAAAATTAAATAGGAATTTATTATATATTTATTATTTAAAATTATTTTTAATTTGATTTCAATTTACAATTGATAATTTTTACTTACTATAATTAACAGTAAGTATATAATCTCCTGCTACTAAACCTCCAGCAAAACCACCTTCTGTATGGTTTACTCTGCGATATAGTTTTCTAAATGTAGGCAAAGCAGCAGTTCTCATCCAAACAATTAAATCTTCATTTTGAAAACCATTATTGTCTTCATTTTTTTTATCTAACTCAAAAATATGCTTACTCCAATTCCTTGGTTTTGCAAATTTCTCAAATGCTTTTTTCAAATCACCCTCAGGATTTTTAAATTTTATATTTTTATCTGAGGGCCAAGCTATACCAGTTTCTAACAATGGTACATTAGTCTTATGTTTAACAGAATATAATTTTAACTCATCACTAAATAATGAATTAGCAATAGCACCACATGGTACAATAGCTTTTCCTTCATCATAAGCAAATGGTTCACAATCTCCTGAGACAACTTCACTTAATTTTCCTAATAATTGATTATCATCCCTTGATTTTACATATCTTCTATGATTTTGGTAAAAATTAGTCAAACCATAATACATGTAAATTTTTCCATTGAAGTCAGAAGGCAATGTGAAGTTTAATTCACAATTACAAATATTTGAACGATTTTCTGCTATAACATCAGCACATTTAACAGGCATTCCTTTTGTATGATTAATATTTGTAGAATTACAATCAGTATAATCTAAAATATATTCTTTAACTTGATCAGAAAAATAAAGTAATCCAACTCCAACTGGTATAAAAGCAATACCAATTACAAAAAATGTTGGTAAAACAGTTCCAGCAGTAAGTATTGGTTGCCAAGCAGGTAAACGTTGCTGTTTGAATGCACTGTCTGTATTAAATAAAACATTTACTATAAATTATTTTTATTAATTATTATTATTATTATTATTTTATTTGCTATTAACTATTTATTATTAATTTATATATTATATATAAATAATTTATATTATAATAAATAATAAAGATAAATTTAATTCAACATTCAAATAATATACATATATAAAAGAATATATAGAATTACTCAATAAAAATATTATATTTTAATAAAGATAATAACAAATCTTTTATTTTTACTATTAAATTAAATTAAATTTTGTATAATATCTTCATATATATACTAAATAAAACAAATATAACCTAATAAAAAAATGAACTTTCATAATAAAACTTACCCGAAGGTTTTTTCGTTTTAGGTATTGAACTAACTTCATTAATAGAAGTCATATTTCTTTATTAAAATGA